TTTCTAATGGATGTCAAGCAGTAAAACTTAATCAAAATACTTCCTCATTTCTAGATCTTAATACTGGTGTGCCTCAAGGATCTATATTAGGTCCAATTTTATTCTCTATATCACATCTAATTTGGCCTCCGTGTTTTTGTCCTGTTCACAACATTATTACGCAGACGAAACCCAACTCTATATGTCATTATATCCAAATGAGTGTGGCCAAGCGGTAAATGCAATAAATCATGACCTTCTTCATGTGCAGATTGTTTTTCAAAATCATTGTTTAAAATTGATATCAAAAACTCAGGGTATCATATTTGGGAGAAATCTCCATATGAAAATATTTTTAGAAAATTATGCCAATTGAATTATTTTAGGAAATGAAAATTTAATTTTTAGCAAAAAGATTAAAAGCCTAGGGGTTTGGTTCGACGAAGACTTAAGGTTTACATATCACGTAATTATTTGTTTACAAAGAGCTTACGCCGTTTTAAAATTAAATAAAAAAATTTTATTTAAAATCCTTTATAAAAGGTATATAATAAAATTTTAATTTTTTCAATTTTAAATAATGCTGACATCTGTCATTTTTAGACAACTACCGTAAGTTACACTGACTGCTCTGACACAACATCCGTTCTAACATGTCAACAATGTCATTTCGATCAGTTGTTATCAACAGGTCCTCGAAGACACTTCGTTTCAGGACCATTTTACCTATGTAGGGTCATACGTCGCCATGTTACCAATTCCAACGGTAACTTAAACATCATAATTTGTAACCACATATAATGTAAAGCAACTGTAAATTTATATCATTTAAAGGGTTTTGACCCATATATTTTGGTGGCTCATAGCATATATACCTCGTAAGTATTAACCACAATGTTCTTTAACATTAGTCAACATTTTAAATTCAACGTTCTTTTTAATTAAAGTGGTTATTTACTTTCAGGTTTGCACTGATGATGGATTTAACAATCCGAAAACGTTTTGTAACATTTTTGTGATAGCCCGTTTGGGCATTTTATTATATACCTTTTATAAAGGATTTTAAATAAATTTTTTGTGATATATGGTATACAGCCAGCTACAGGAACTTAGTTTCCTAGTGGAGTTTTAAAATTACTGTATCAAAACTGTAGTTTATTAAGTAGGACCAATAAGTTATTATTATATAATGCTCTGCTTTTATCAAAATTAAATTATTGTGACGTGCTTCACAATGCGTATTTCGCTGAATTTGATTCATGGAGAATGCAGAAATTGCAAAATTCTTGTTTGCGTTTAATTTTTGGCATCAGGAAATTTCAAAGGATGTCATGTCTTCACCCTAGTCAAGTGGCTAAATATGAAAAATCGTCGGAAACTTCATGCTTTCTGTTTTTACCATAATATCATTCAAGAGAGAGTTCCTCCATACCTGTACAGTCGAATAACTTATAGGACTGATATTCATAATCTTAATCTTAGACACAAGAATACCCTCACTTTACCTAAACATACATGTTTTTTAGACATTCATTTTCGTATTCAATTGTTTGCAATATAAACAGGTTGTCCTACGATATTAGAAATTTGTCTAGTGTCAAGTTCAAGAGATTAATTTATGAGCAATTGTTAGCTGAACAGTAATTTAAAAATTTAAGAATTTAAAAAATAAATAGTTTATAATTTATAAATTTAAGATGTAATTGTTATGATCCATTTTAAAATACATATTTCATTATTTAGATATAGTCTATTTATCCAATCTTCAGGGAGTTAGGTGGAAGAGCAATTGTATATCGCTGTTACACAGTTGTATACAAACTGAATCTCGCCCTACTGACATAGTCTTAGACTTAAATATTTATCGAGATTTAGCCATACGGCTCACACTCCCTCTAAGGGGAAAATTCACTCATCCCAGATACCTACGGTATCAAAAGGATTGAGCTCTGATTTATTACTATTATTATAACTAAGTACCACCCAGCTACTTGTATTGATTATATAGTGACCAACACCTTACATTATGATGCTAGGTTTTGTATTGTGGATGAGGGTTTAGGTGATCACCAAATCCAGTTATTAAAATTTAAAAACCTCTCACGTAAGTCTATCGATAAATATTATCATCATTCTGGCTTTACAACTCTGCGTGGGTCCTAGTCTCCTCAAGAATTTCTCTCCAGTCGTCCCTATCCATCGCCTTTCTCCACCAGGCACGTATTCCCATATTTCTCATGTCTTCATCGATGTTATCAAGGAACCTTGTTCTGGGTCTTCCTCTTCTTCTCTGATCAATGGATCTATCAAGGAGCGTTTTTCTGGCTGGGTCATTTTGTTCCATCTGCATTACATGTCCTATCCACCTCAGACGCCCTATCTTAATATGTTTTACGATATCAGGTTCCTGGTATATTCTATAAAGTTCGAAGTTGTATCATCTTCTTCACACTCCATTGTCGTTCACTGTTCCATAGATTTGCTTATTATTTTTCTTTCGAATCATCCTAACATGTGTCAGGTCTCTGAACCATATGTTAGGACTGGGAGTATTATTGTTTTGTAGAGTTTTATTTTTGTATTTCTCCTTCTCGTTATAATTGTGAATTGAAGGAGGAGATTAAGCCCAAAATAGCATTTGTTGGCTGTGCAAATTCTGCGGTTTATCTCTGTGGTAGTATTATTTTCAGTGTTAAGGAGCGCTCCCAGGTATACAAATTCGTTTACTGCTTCGATAACGTCGTTTTCTATAACTAGTGGTCGCAGGATTTGTGGTTACGCGCTAATTTTCATATACTTCGTTTTGTTGATGTTTATTATTAAAACCATTTTTGTAGCTGATTCTTTTAATGTTTTCCATTCTCCCAACAATATTGATGTCACGATCAGCTATAGACGCGGTAAAATTTATATGTGATACAGTCAAACAAACAAGAAACAAATGGGCAATCCTTGTTATGTTCGATGTAAAGAATGCCTTCAATTCTGCCAATTGGGCATACATCATAAGGAAACTGGAAACCGCTGGAGTGTCAGACTACCTAATAAATATAATTAAAAATTACCTCACCGACAGATATATTAAAGTGGCAAACAAAGAAAAAACAAAACTATCGGCTGGAGTACCGCAGGGATCTGTATTAGGTCCAACGTTGTGGAACGTCTTGTATAACACAGTATTGGAAATAGATTACGGCAGAGGTGCGTCAGCAATTGCATATGCAGATGACTTAGCAATACTAATAGAGGGTGACACAAACTTGGATGCAATAAATAAAGTTAATATATGCTGGAGAAAAGTTAATAGGTGGATGACAACTAACGACTTACAGCTGGCGTGTAATAAAACAGAGATAATTATATTAAAAGGGCCTAGAGCGATACCCAACCTGACTTTCCAATTTGCAAGTACGACGATAGTCCCAACCAATTGTGCTAAATATCTAGGCATACACCTTGATACAGGTCTACGATTTACCAAACACCTGATAAATGTAGTCCAAGCAGCAGAACGCAGAACAGCGGCCATTATGAAAATAATGCCTAATATAGGAGGGCCAAGTAATTATAAAAGAAGAATGTACTTGCAAATAGTGCATTCGACGCTTTTGTACGGTGCCCCCGTATGGATTGAAGTCTTAAGGTTTGCCAGGTACAAAGACTTGATTACAAAAGCTCAAAGAAAGCCCCTTCTTAAAGTAGTTAGTGCGTACCGGACTACATCTACGATAGCCTTACAGGTGATTGCTGGTACGCTCCCCATTCACCTCCTAGCGAAAGAAAGAGCCATCCTATACAATAACGGCAACGGCCACCTGACACAGGTAAGAGACGAAATTAGGAACCAGATCCTTGATGAATGGCAATCTGAATGGGAGGCACAAAGGGAAAAAGCACAATGGACTAAAATACTAATACCCGATGTAAAAGCATGGTACAAATGTAGGTTCAAGAGAATAAACTATTTCTTTGCATAATTCCTGACCGGACACGGTTCTTTTAGGTCGTATACATACAGAATTAAAAAAACAAATGACGATATCTGTATGGATTGTGGTGTGACTGATGACGCGGAACATTGCATTTTCGAATGTAATGTCTTTCTACAAGAACGTCAAAGACTGAAAATTAAGCTAGGAGAGGTCACGCCCAATAATATACTGGAATTACCTATGCAGAACAGAAAGAACTATGATTATGTGTTAGAAATAATAACGGAAATCATAAAAAAAAAGGAGACGCTAGAAAGAGCGAGACAGGATGAAGGAATAGGCTGAAAGACTAATAAAATAATTGTAATTCGCGTTTTTTGCTCATTAGACACATACTTCAGCGTTCTGTACTAATTTTATAGTGTAACTGTCCTATTTATTTACTTATATTGTTTTTTATACTGTCATTATGTCACTCAGCTACCTTTGAGACTCTCTACCGAGGACTATACTAGGTTTTCGTGAAAATTGGAGACCGCGGTGGTGCTCCCGAAGTTGCATTCGCCAACAAAAGTTCCGGGTGCGCTGCTGGAAGAGAGGGTGAGTTTAGTTGGTAGGCGCCTGAACTAACCTTATCAACATTCCAACGTTATAGTTCAGACGAATCCAACAGTATCTGGGTCCTCTTCCCAGATCTCTTTAGAAGATTCTCAAAAAAAAAAAAAAAAAATATTGATGTCATCAGCATAGAAGACAAGGAGATTTGCACTGATTTATTATATATTGAACCAATGGTTGTGATTTGTGACATACGTATTACTTTTTCCAAAGCCAAATTGAATAGTATACAGGAGTGAGGGTCTCTTCAAGAGTTAGTTTTGTTATATATAAATATAATATGGTAACAAATATAAACAAAGAGCAGTTTAAGTCAAATAAACACTCTGGGAAATCAAATCTGAATTGAACCCAATTTATTGTGTGACGAAATCATAAGAATTCACTTAAACAACCTTAGTACAAAAACAATAAAGAAACCAACAGTTTCTCTTTTATTTTTTACTATTTATTTTATTTTGTATTACTTACTTTGGCTTAGTGTCTAATGCTATAGATTTTCTACAATCGGCACATTCATAATTCTGTAAATCCAATCCCTTTTCTTGTGCAATCTTTCCTACTTGTAAAGCAAAACTTACTTCTGGTCTGGTCGCTGGATTGAATGTTATAACAGCAGGCTCTTTTGGTTCAACCTGGAAACAAAGATGTATTATTAACAAGAAACTGTATTTATTCGTTCTCACATATTCGTATTAACATGTTTTCCTTTTAATAGTAAAAATTTGGAAATCTAATATGAAAATGCTTGTAAATTTGTAAAATTCTTACCGTAATTACTTTTGGCTCTTCATTTTTATCTCCCAATTTCTGCCAAACATCTCGAAAATCAGGCGTCTTAATGAAGGCACCGCTAAGCATGTTGTAACTTTCAATGAGAGCATTAAAACTAGTCTCCATAGATTTTGGTTCTTCTTTAACAAGTTTTTCCTGACATTCATCATTTGTCGCTTGAGGTTCAGTACTTTCAGGCAACTGAGTTTCATCAAATGACCAACCAGTCCTTTTACTTAAAGAATTACCAACAGTATAATTAATATTATTCAAGTCACTGTTTCTGTCATGATCGGAACCAGACACAGACCTCAAATCATCAAAAGATTGAGAATTGCTTGTCTGGTCCTTATCTTTAGCTAAAATAATTTTTAAAACTTCATCTTCAGATAAAGACACAATTTGTCGCAACCCTGAACTCTGAGAATTATAGGACATTACAGAACATATGGAAGCTGTATCAGAACTGTTTTCGAAGTTAGACTGAGTTTTCATTGATTCTGTTATGGATATACTCTGAGCTACATCATCACAGGGTGCAACTGGACAGGATTTTAAAGTCGGAGACCAAATACCTGATAAGATTAGGCTAGGTAGTGGCCACGTATTTAGTAAACTGGAGTTAAATGGCAAAGTGAAACTTTTGAATGCTTCCACGCCTTCTATTAATCGCTGTGCTACATCTAAAAGTTCTCCATCCCTCACATATGCGTTAACTTTGTAGTATGATTTTAAAGAAGAAGAATCCTGTCGAATACTCATTAAGTACGAAGAAAGCAAGCAATCGTTCAAAGCCAGACGGATCCAGACGCGGCATTGACCCACTTCTGTGGTAATTTGCGATAAATTTGTAATCTAAAACAGTAAATGAACTATTGATAGCAACAGCAGAATCTAACGCCAAAGTATTATCGTATTATCAAAGTATTCCTTTTACAAAGGAATAACAATAATAATTAAACATATCAAATTAATCAATAAGTCCCGTCTAATTAATAAAACAACAACTTCTATACAAAATTCAACTTTGTTTTATTTATTTAGAATTACTTCATTAATCATAAAAAAACTAGCTGAGAGAGAAAGGAATACGCATTGAAAAAGCCAGAGCCGCCTTCTATAAATTAAAGAAAATTCTAATTATTAGAGATATTACGTTAAACCTTAAAATCAGATTAATACGCTGCTACATATTCTCCACATTGCTGTATGGTATGGAGAGCTGGACCCTTACAGAGACATTAATGAAAAAATAAGAGGCCCTTTGAGATATGGATTTAAGGACGAGTATTGCGGATAAGTTGGGTTGATCGAATAAGAAATGAAATAGTTTTACATCGAATGAAAAAGAGCACAGAAATAACAAAAACGATAAAAATTCGCAGTAGAGGTTATAAAATAGAGGAGACAGTGGTGAACCGTATGGAACTGCATGTTGCATTGAAAATTATTAGAAATATGTTCCATTAATTTTGACCATACACCTGCGTCTTTTTAGAAAATCATTAACAATTGCTGAGGATTGTTCAGATTGAAGATTGTTAAATGAAAGAGGATGGACTGCTAATCAGTGGCGGCTTTTCTTTATGTGCTGCTGAGCTGCAGAACTACCAAACAACCATAGCAAATCTTAATTATTAAAGAATAATTAATATAGTTTTATTTCAAATCTGCCATATTATCATATTAAACATAAACTGTTAATAATAATTCACCAACAACGATGATTAATATTATTTTTTTTACGTATTTACTCCTCTAGTGAAACCGTATAATTTTTTTACGTATTTGGTGCTCCAGTGAAGCAATCTTTTTACGTATTTGCTGCTCCAGTGAAGCCGCGTCGATAACAACCGAAACACTGGCAGCGGTAAAATGCATTTATTAGGCAAACGGCGATCTTAGCCGATGTGCTTCGGCAATCGACTGATTAACGGCCTCGGAAATGTGTTTGCGAGCTGCAATTCACGACAGTTATTCGTCGTGAATGCAGGATCTAGTGCATTTAAGTGAAAAAATAAAGAAGCATGAAAACACGCAAACTCATATGAACAATGAAATGCGATTTGCATTATTTGGGAAACTTAATATACAGGCCCAACTTGACTCTGCTTATTGGATAAATATACAAAAACACAATGAAGAGGTGACGAAAAACAGGTATGTTTTGTCAAAAATAATTGACTGTATAAAATTCTGTGGGGCTTTTGAGCTCGCCTTACGAGGACACGATGAATCTGAAACATCAGATAACCCTGGAATTTTTCGTGGTTTAGTGAATTTTTCTGCTGAACTTGATAAAACACTTAGTGAACACCTTACAAATGCGACAATTTTCAAAGGTACCTCAAAAACAATACAAAATGATATTTTGGATTGCATGCTAGAAGTATACGCTGAGGAGATTTTAAACGAAATCAATGAAGCCCCATTTTTAGCAGTGATAGCTGATGAGACAACGGATGTTTCTATGAAATTTCAAATGGTCATTGTTTTTCGTTATGTAAAAAACGGTGCTCCAGTTGAAAGGTTTTGGACTTTTTTGCTTCCAGAAAAACATGATGCTGAAACCTTAGCTAACACAATTTTGAATGTTTTAGACCCAATATTAAAGAATAACAAAAATAAGCTCATTGCACAAAGTTATGACGGAGCAGCTGTTATGAGTGGGATACATGGCGGAGTGCAAACAATAATTAAGAGAAAATATGAAACTGCTCATTTTGTGCACTGTTACGCCCATCAATTGAATCTAATAATGTCAAGAGCATGTTCTATTAATTCCCAAGTACGCGTATTTTTTGGAGATTTACATGATATACCTGGATTTTTTTAGTCATTCACCTCAAAGAATAGCTGTCTTAAATCAAATAGTTGGAAAAAATATTCCTCGTTCAATCCCTACACGCTGGAATTTCAATATTCGTACAGTAAATGTCGTTTACGAATATAGAGACTTTATTATTGAGTGTATGGAGCAACTAGAAGAAGAGTCAAATGCTATTACTTCCAAGGAAGCAAGAGGACTTAGACGTATTCTGGAAGATCAAAATTTTACTTTCTGGCTGACTGTTTTTCATTATATTATGCCACATGTTGACGTTTTGTACAATAATCTTCAAAAAAAGAACATGGACCCAACCGAAGCACAGAAAGCTATACATGTTTTTGAGCAAAGTATTAACAATGTCCGAAATAAAATAGACCCTATCATACATCAAGCTTCAAATTTAAATGCGGCGCCTAGTGTCCAAAAAAGGAAACGCCCAAATAACAGCCAACAGGATCACCGTATTGCCTGTCTAGAAGTTTGTGATGTTATTATAAACAATGCAAAAGAACGGTTTGCATATACAAATCATCTAGTTGCCGCAACACTTTTATCTTCAGAACATTTCGAAAAATATAATAATAAGTTTCCTGAAAATGAATTGGATTTAACTTGTACAGCTTATAACTTCTTTGATAAAAACCGTTTGCGAACAGAACTGTCAGTTTTGTATTCCAATATCGAGTGTAGAACATTAAAAGGTGCAGTGCCTTTGCTAAAATTTATAATTTCTAATAATTTAGAGGACACATTAACAGAAACCAAAAAGTTGATACAAATTCTGGTGACTACGCCAATGACCACAGCAGAAGCTGAACGTAGTTTTTCAACTTTAAAACGGATCAAAACATTTTTAAGAAATTCAATGTGCGAAGACAGATTAACAGCCCTTTCCACACTCTCGATAGAAAAAAAGTTCATCGCTTCAATACCGAACTTTAACGATAAAGTAATCGAAAAGTTTGCGACAAAAAAGGACCGGCGTATTAATTTCCAATTTAGAAAAATGCAATAAATGTAAGTTAATCAGATTTTTATAGCATGTCGTTATTAGTTACTATTAATTAGTATTAAAGCTAATTTTATTGTTTTTGTTTTCGTATGTTATTCTATTTCTATTATTTTATATTGACCGTGGTTCATGCAGCACACCCTATAGCAGATGTCACGAGCCGCCACTGCTGCTAATTAATTTTTTCTTAAACCCAAACTGGTGTATATGTTAAAAATTTTCTCAAAGATTTTTTCTATTCCTGGGAAAAGAGTGATTTGACGGTAATTTGTACTTGTATTAGGTTTACGAATCATTATTACAATAGCCGTCTTCCATTCATCAGGAAAGAAATGATTCATCATACAATAGTCATATTATATGCTCCTTATTTCCTTATGAATGACAGGATCTAGTTGCTTAAGTATTTTACAGTTTAAAGAATCTTTGCTTGAATCTGTTTATTTTTTCTTTATATAAATCTTCGTCATATTCATCTTCTGTGATGAATCGAAAGGCATTCTGATTACGATTGTTCTCATAAAAATTTCCAAACCAATCATCTATCTGATCTAAGGTATCTCCATCAAAATCATTGTCCTCAAAACCATTGTTTGTTAGTTTCTTCCAGGAACTTTGCAAAAGCATTCTATTTTTCTTCATGCGTACTGTACGACTGGCCATCAGATACTGGGGTTCTAAATTTTGTTGTCTAAATGATTTATATTTGGATAGTTTTTTTTTATTCCTTTCCGGTATAAATTGTGATATAAGTTTGTGAATATCTTTGTTTAGTTCGTTAAATTGTTATTTTAATTAACACGCATCACTGAGTTTAGTTCATCACTTTAGTTTAATTAGAGATCTGAAGCGTGGAAGATTTAAATTAAAATGTGATAGGTGAGTTTTCTATTATAAATTTAGACAAGTATTGAAATTTTTAATGTACTTTGGACAAAAGTTATGTCTTACATTTAAAATGCCTTCATTCTACTATTTACATTTTGCTATTTTAGGTAGCTTAACTTCATTAATATGATTAGCATCCAGATGTACATTAAAATCAAATTGGAGAGCCAGATGGTCACTTCCCAGATCTGAAGTTTCAAGCACATTTGTGATATTATTTATAATATTTTTAGAACATAGTAATATATCCGGAGGTGTCCTTGGGTTATTTGCCATGATAAACATAGGAGTTGTAGGTATTTGATAAAAATTGGAATTTTGAAGGAAACATTTGATTTGCTTCAAACGTGGAGAGTTGACTTTGGATTAAAATCGCCAATGATAAAGGGTGCTTTAATGACGTGATAAAATTTAAGAGTCTTTAAAGGGGAATGAAAAGTGGGTGTAGTTATTGGGGGGTTGTTTATTCTTGGAGAGTTTCTGTAATATGATCATGATACATCATTGATGAATGTATTCTGCTTGTACCAGTAATTTCTGATGGAATTTCATACGATTTTTTGTTTATAGACTTAATGCGTTAGTTGGTTTGTTAGGATATTTAGGTGACCATGCTTGGTGGTCTTCGGCATTGCATGACATTTCTCCTGAAGAGGAGAGGTGCACGTTTGTGTTGGATGTTTTCCTTGGCATTTCCTACAACTTAACGTGATGCAGTAGAGTGGATATATATTGAACATGGGAGAAAATGATTCAATTATTCTAATCAGAGGTGTATGTTTCTCGGTTTTTCTTGATGTAATTATTTTGCAGTATCTGTGGTTTATCCCGTTATCTGTAAGGTGGTCTGTTGGCTGTATTTTCAATATCCAATTCTACTGATCATATGACACTGGCGAAAGTTGTGTTGTATGATTTATTTGGTGTTGATTGATTTTGGTTAGAATTTGTTTCTTGCGTTATCTGAAAGCAAGCCACATTGCCTCACACTGTTCGAATCCTCCCCAAACTAGTGTAATAACAATCGACCAATCAACAATACCCAAAGACACTAGTATACATTCTACAAGCAACCAACAAAATATCGAAGACTGCAATGTGGAACCTAGTCAAAACACAACGGAACTAGATCAGCCAATCAGCTCCCTCCTCTACAAATAAACGGGGATACTCTGAAGTTCAAACCATTTACACCGATAGTAACTCCAGAACTAGTTGTGATATGATGCCTCCCCATAAAATAAATACCAAAAAAGAAACAAAGGGTTCTCCAAAATTGCGTTCTCCTTCGCAAAACGCTCTCACTGAAACTGCAAAACATTGTATTAAGGATATATACCATCAATCGCATTTATAGAAAATACTTTCGGTTTCTTTCAGTGGAAATGAATTCGTAGATGTCTCAACAAGAAAGGCAAGTGTTCTGACTTATGCATAGAAAAAATTCAACTTCATTAAGATTTAACAGCAACTATAAAACAAAAAACTCTGAAAACATGTCAAACTCACTGGAATGGACAAAACACAAAACTGACGAGAAGGGCCAAAATCATATTTCGAAGCCTTTGTATAGATCACATATGCCTCACTCACAGATACCTCATAAATTCCGAAAATCCACCTGCTTGCGAATATTGTGATTCTCACCGCTTTACAGTAGAACACTTATTCATAGAGTGTAGTTATTATAGATTTTATAGACTAGCACACAATATAAATGATAACCTCAAGCAGATTTCACCAAATGTGAATAGTGTATAATTGACTTTTTAAAAGATTACAGATTATATCATATTATATAACAAATATTGTAATAGATTATAGTGATTTGTGATGTAAGAGACTGTATTCAAATAACTTAAATATGACTTACTGTATTTAACTTAAATTAATATAGACATTTTTGTACCCATGTCAATGGCCATAGCTGCCAAGACACGTTAATTTCAATAAATTTTTTTTTAATTACATAGTAATTAAGGATGTTTTATTTTATTTTTCTCGAAAGTTATATTTCAAGAAAAGTAGTAAAGATTTATTGCACATATCACATTTGACCTATATTTGCAGAATGTAAACCTGAGTGTGGTGCTATCTATGTCAGGCCTGAGACTTATTGCACAATATGGCATATGTAAATGGGACGAAAAATTATATTCAGTAATTATTGTTAAATATGACAAGGATTTGACTTAGTCAATGTAGTATAATGAGTGTGTGAAAGTTAAATAAGGAGAAATTCTTACCTGTTCAATGATTTGTCTATGAGAAATAACCAATAGAGGGGCCCAAAAGCTTGGTTCTGGTTGTTCGTCCACATCAGCTAGAGCTTTCTTAAATCTATGAATCAAAGTATCTCTTAATCCATGTAGAAAGATGGCTTCAATTGCAGTACACAATGTAGTTGCAGCTTCTGTAGTCGAATACTCTGAAAGATTAGGTGATTTGTTTTCTTCAACTCCAGCATAATGTATTTCCTTGCAGCTGTCTGACAGTTGTCTGGTTATTGACTTTTTTATAATGTCGTCCTTATTATTTGATAAACGTACACTTTTAAGAAGTTTATTCATATTTAAAACCCAACTACTAAGTATCTCAAATTAAAGATAAATAAAGCAGTTACTATATCTTGACAGGCTCCTCCTCCTCTCACTATGTAGAAAGTTCCAGATTCTGACAAATCTACAACATTAGAAGCACTACTGTTAGTCTTTCATTAACCACTATCAAATGTAGAATGTAATCTATCCCAAATTTTTTTAACTCTAATATCTACAGCACTGGGTTCTATACATATATAAGTACTAGTTAAGCTAGTGATTTATATAATGGAAATAATAGTTGTTGCTTCTGAAACTAAAATTCAAACAATTTGGTATGAGGTTATGAGTGAAGTCTGGATATCAGTAACTTTATTTCAGCAAGTAGATGACCCTTTATTCTTACTTCTGCATTTATGTTATATAAACTATTCAGCTAATTTTTTGTATCACTAAACTATTCAGCTAATTTTGATATTGAACCACCCATTAAATAGTTAACACTTATGGCTTCAGCAGATTTCCTCATACACTGGCAAATTTTAAGGGATGGAATTAAATTTTATAGAATGAAAGGAATGTTTTTTATTTTCTGATTCAGTTGAAATAAATCAAGGCTACTATCAAGTATGTACTACTATTAAGTTTGTACATTTTCATTAAGTTAGTTAGTGTTTACTTGTAACATGTTTGTATTGTCATGAAATAAGTCATGATATGACATCTTTCAAATCCGAAACTAGATGTAGTGGAAGGGTCGGATATCATCGAGGAGGTAGTTCAGTTCAAGAAAAAAGGAAAAGTTTGGCTGGGAAGTGTGAAGGCGGCGTTGCCACACGATATTTTTTCTATAAACCCCTTAATTGCATTATAAGTGTTTTTACAGCCTTGAAGCTTCAGATTTAGGACATTAAGTGTCTCAAAAAATTCAGACAAATAAGCAAAGTAAAAGATATTTTTATTATCTGTAGATCTTCTTGTCTTGGGGTGATTAACAAAATTTCAACTTCTGACTTGAAATTGAATAATCTTGTAACCATATTTCCTTTAGATAACCATCGGACTTCTGTGTGAAATAGGAGGGTTTCCTGATCACTTTTCAGTTCTTGACATAGTACCTGAAAGAACCTAGTGTTTAATGCACTGGATTTCATGTCATTGAAAATTTTAATTGCTAAGTTTAATGTGAAGTTAAGAGGTTCAGGTAAAGTCTGATTAGCTAAAGCTTGTCTGTAAATAATGCAGTGAGAACCAATTATCCTAGAGTTCTTCTTTTTTGCCAATTCCATAAATCGAGATCGACATTCTGTCATGACTTGTCCCCATCAGTACATATGCCAATTACTTTCTCCCATGTAAGTTCATTGATTACTAAAAAATCTTCAAGACCAGAAAATATGTCAATGGCTTTAGTTGCCGTTTCAAGAGATGTTGAAAACAATATTTCCTCCAGGAACCGTTTTCTGTCAATAAATCGACAGTAAAACAATAACTGTGCATGCTTTGAAATATCAGTTGTTTCGTCACACTGCAAAGAAAAAACGGTGAACCTTTTAATTTTTGCAATACTTGATTTTTCAAATCCAGAGCGATATCATCAATTCTATGTTTTACTGTGTAGTTTGAGAGAGAAATTGTTTCTACTATCTTTTAACTGTCTTCACTAAGTACGGTACTATAAGCAGTAAGTAAACTTGTCTTTAACTATCAAAAGTTTTAGGCTGCTTTTTTTGGCAATAAAAATTCTGGGCCTTTATCTTTCAAAGAAGAATGGTTTGTAATTAGATGCCATTTCCAATATCCGGGGTGCATTGCATCATTACTAAGAACAGCATGGCAGTTGACACACTGAGATAAATGACTGTTGTTTTTCTTCATAAAGGTAAAACCATACTTGATATAATTGTCTGAATACAATCTTTTCTTTGGAAGTGACTTAGCCATTTTCAAAGCTGTTAGACAACACTATTAAATAATTCACAAACAATCACTCTGTTATTAAATAACAATCACACTGATCGCTACAAACAGCACACAGACGCTGTCAACTGAGACTGACACATGAGACGGAGTCACTGAACTGGAGCCAGGAGTGCTTGCAATACAGTGTTGGTAAATATACATTGTGCTCCTACGATGTTGCATACTGTCGTGTTTAACCTCAGGCTGTCTATTTGAGTAAAACAATTTTAATCACATTTAAATAAAGAAATATTTCTAAACAAAATAAAAATACGAAATACAAAATATTTTGTTTTTACCAAAATATATAGTTTAACCTCAGGTTGTGTATTTGAGTAAAACGATTTTAATTTAAATAAAGAAATATTTCTAAACAAAATAAAAATATGAAATACAAAATATTTTGTTTTTTAACAAAATATATAGTTTTCAATTTCAATTTTTTTTCTTTATACCCTCACCCCTCCCGTGAAATTCTCTCATGCTCCCCCCCCCCCCCAGGGGGGCGCGCCACCAGGTTCAGAACCACTGCCTTAGACAATGCTATACATATAGAACAACTGAATTATCTAAAAGCAAAAATATGCTGACTTTTTTAATGCCAATTTTTATTTTATGGATGTGAAATAAATTTGATTTATAATAAATAAATGAATTTTTGTTTATTTCACCTCTCTAATTCAAAATTAGTACAAATTAATCTCAACCTCTTTATGTTGAAACCCTCAATAAGTTCAGAATTCTATAACTCAAATATTTTAGCATCTCCCTTGATGTTCAACTCATAAAGGTTCCACTGTAATTCATAAACTTATTTTCACCCTGTAAAGGTGTTTCATTTGGCCATTATTATAAGCTACTTAATTCTTACATACAGCTATGTGCAACAGTTAATAGTAACATTAATCCTTTCTTATTTAATGGCCGAGATATATCTCTAAACACCATAGCACAATATATCCATATTTTACTACGACTTTTAAAACAATAATAACAGTTCCCTATCCTGTCTCCTTTTGAAGTTGTCCACTATATTTTTGTTTTTCTACAAGATAATGAAACAAATATTTTTGTAGAATATTTCCTCTCATAATTTAGAAATAGCTCAAAAAATGATTTGGTAGTATAATTTGTTTTGTTATTGTCTTGTAATCAAACATAAAGATAACTTATATCTTTAATCTATTTTTGATTTTTTTTAGATAAGAGTAAACAAAATATATAAAATTCATGGGATAATTTGGGTTTATATTTGTAGAATATCAAAATCATTTATTTATGGATTATGGCATAAAAACTATTTTTAAATGCATAAAATTGCATGTCATTTACTTATTGCAAAATTGTGTAAATACACAATGTTTGATATTATGTATCGTTTTTAAAGAATATTAATTTCCTATTTCGATTTTCAAATGTTTAAATATTAAAATTCTTGTTACACAACAGGATTTATAGTGCTTAGGTGTAAATTAAAATGCTGACTGGCAATGAAAATATGGTTAATTACATTACCTTAAATATAATGTATAAATTCCTAATGGACATTAATTTGGTTAAATGAAAAACGACGGAACCAAGATTAAACATGAACTTGAATTGTCCCTTTATATTTTCTTCAGCAACTAATGGGTTAGGCCAAATTAGACAAAATTGTACCATATTCTACTACTAAAAACTATTGTGGGAGTTTTATATTTATATTTATATCTAAAAATTGAATGTTACTCTTGTTATATTTATGACATCAAGTTTGACTTTGACACTCCGCATGACGCATGATTGGCACTTCACCAAAGTGGTTTTGCAAAATAAATATAAAAATTTGAGAAAATAAATAAACAACATATAAGCTTTCCTTGATCTCTCTAAAGTATGATTTATCTATTATGTTGCAAATATTACTTTGACTTTTTTATACTTTAATTACCATTGCAAAAATAAGATGTCATTTTTCCATATGTTTATGCCTTTGATACGTCTTGTACCGCCATCTACAAAGTACAAAACAAACCTAATTAGTAAAAATTGTTTTGTATTGTTTTGAGTTCTTGCAGATTTCTCCTGTAAAGAAATGAATATCCTTTTGTTGATCCTTTTGTATGAAATTTGAATTCATTATTACAAAACAATTAAATATTGTATTTTCACGTTTGAAATATCTTTCATTACATATGTTGTTTCTTCCAACGCGCCCATTCAGACCTCCTGCTAATCTTATTTTTTCCCTGCATTTTCGAATTCTAATTGGAATATCATTTATCAAATATATGATGAGTTTTATCTTTCTTTTTTTATTGTTGAATACGCTATAGTTAGTTATATCCTATACTATTAATTTTTTCGTTTACATATCTTTCCCCAATGATGCTTTTTGTTTTTTATTATGAGACATATCATTATTCTGCAGAAACTTCTAAAGAATCCAGTATTGGTTTAGTGAATTGTCCAAAAAATATATGCAAATAAAGTCAAAAATATGACTTTTCAGTAAACATAATAAACAATGTTTTGAAATGTTGGTAGGTACATTTACTGTGTAGTATATAAGAAAAGAAACTTTTTACAATATGACATTTGTTGATACTCAGCAACTCACCAAAGCTGGTGAGTTTTGCATTAGTTTATATTTAAAATTAGCGCTGGAAAGAAAATGCTCCTCTCAGCATCTTTGCCACTAAACCACTTGTTGAGATAAACAAGGAGGAGGCAAATCACCTGTGGCACAGAGATTATTCCTGAAGATCGTAGAAACACACATGCGCATAATCCATTCTCTCGAAGTTCGTTGTCCGTATCGTGTTGAAGTTGTTTGGTTTGTAACTGATGTGAATGTGAAATGTGGTAATAGTAGTGAGGCACTTGGCAATTTAAACACATGTAAATAAAACTAAGATGTTAAATATTCATTATTTTTCAATAAAATACGCTTTGGTGAGTGATAAATAAACATCCCAAACATGCTGGGTTTTGTGAAAGTGCGGGGTTTTCGGTAAAAGTTGTCCTGTTTTCTTCGTTTTGCCAAAGTTTTTAAACTGCTTCATTGGAATTCGGTAGGCGTTTTATGTACTTATATTAACACCAATATTAAACTTGCAGCTGTTTGTCATATTTTTATTAATTTCATACTACTTACCAGTTTTACTCATATGTATTTTTAACGATGACTTATTTTAATAAAGTCTGTAAAGTTTATTACTTTTATATAAAATATTTAAAACGAGTTATATTGATATCAAAAATTGGGCTAAATATTTACATCTGCCAATAATGTTAACTGCTAATATTTTTATCAATAAAGTTCATTAAGTAGTAAAGAAATAACAGCCAATAATATATGTTTATACACACGTTGAGAGATTTATGTCATTTGTTAATTGCTTTAATCGTAAAAATTTGTACAATAGCGTAAGAATATTGGTTAAACTCTTCATTTCGCTATTTCTCATTTTGTGATTCATTTATTTCTAATTTTACTCTATCTGCAGCACTCAACGTTAAGTTTAATACGAACCATTTCTGCACCTGAGAGTAGTAAATATTAATTTTTGCGTTTGCGAAGGTCATAGATTAATTAATAAAGAAAATGTAAACTATATATTATTTTGTAGAGGGCAGTTATTTCTGCTGCAGTTACTGTACCGTTTTTATAAAAGGCAACAATTATTGTTCCTCTATAAATGAGAAATATACTTCAATCTATTTACATTATTTTTATTGCTTTAATGTGTTGGGTTTGTCTGTTGAAACTGCCCCTATGTGACAAAGACGTGATGGAATGTATCACTTACTTTTTCATGGTCCTTTATTTAGAATAACAACTTAAAATAATTTTAATTGAGATACGGGATCATTTGTTTATACATTATATTTTATCTTCCTAATCTCTGTTGTTTACATATTGTTATCTTAGCAGATTATTAGCCCAGTCAAATTAAGGAAATACTTTACAAAAATATGGACTCGATTTCATCTAAATTGCCTACGACTTTTGTTGTTGATTTTGAAATTTTAAGTGGTGTAAAGCCAACATAACAGTTGATAATAACGCAAACAAAACGTGTACTCATCAGTTTTCATCTTCTCAAAAGTCTTGTGTAGATTCTAAGGTTTATATAAATCATGTACATTTGCAGAATGAAAATTTATGTGATAGAATGTCTTCACCATTTTACCCCAAACATTTTCGATGGGATTAATATCAGGGATGTGTCCAAACATCTACTTAACATCCACTCTTTGTGGTCATGAAATATATTCGTCCTTACGGGAATAACGTGTTCCCTATCGACGACATAATATGAACAGACGTCATTAGAAGATAACAGTTTGTCTTCAGAAAAATCACATTTTCTGATAAATGTTATTTAACGCGAATGGACCACGTGCTTGCTTACTATTTTCATTTAAACGATTGTTTGCTGCTGAAACTTTTTAATTCGCGACAAATTGTTGGTAACGAACATAGAAAACGTATTTCTATCCTTCGCAGTTTACGCAAATGTAAATAGATTTTGTCTGAAGTGTTCCAAAATAACTTCTTCATTGGGCGTAGAAATTTTCGACTAACCCATTCGTGCCGGTTCTTCCTTGAACTCTGCATGCCTAATGTTTTTCTTGTACCTATTTGCTTAATGCGAAGTACATTCGATTTGTTACTATAAAGATGAAGATGTAACATATATGACAAAAACTGAAGCAAGTGTGCAGAAGTTATGGAAAGGCATTATCATTTAATATAGTAAATAGTATATGGTTGCTTTTATCAATTTAAAAAAGGAGACAAATACAAACATAATGGCTTTTGGGATTCATCAGCTTTGGTCAGCATCAGCAATTATTTAATCCTTAAGTTTCGTCAGTAATTGCATGTCAATAAAGTGTATCCATTTTGTAGGGTACAATTCAGACCAAGACTATAATGTATTGTAATTTATTAAGTAAAAAAGAACAAATTTATTACTGTAGTTCAGAAAACAATAATTTTTATGATGATTTTACAGTAAAGCTAGCATATCAGTAGCTATATCTCAACAAGGAAAAGGGCAACACGGCCCAACTTGGCGGCATATTTTATTGCTAATTGATTGCTATTGATTGGTAAATTAATTAATCCCCAAAAACTATCCTAAAGATCCCCTAACGCAAAACTCAATCTTGGAAAAATTAAGATATAGGACAAAAGCGATGTCTTGAAACGTAAACCGCAAAGAATTGATTGCCAATTTATTGCTGAAGTTTTACGCCAAGAAACAATTTATTGCTCAAACCATTTCCGAGAAATAACGATTATGTTAACATTACGCTAAAGCTATTTAGCATAGCCATAACTATATCTCGTCAATGAAAAGGGCTACAGGGCCCATCTTGACGGCATATTTTTTGCTAGTTAATTGCTGTTGATTGGATTGTCTAATCCTCAAAAACTTATTACCATTATCCCTTAGCGAAAAGCTAAAAAATTCGAGATATCAGACAAAAACGTTGGAACCGGAAAAGTGAACCGCTAGGAATTAATTTCCCTTTTAGCCTAGTAGAAAAAGACATTCGAAGGTTTTTAGATTATCGCCGGAATCGATCTACCTAGAATAAATCTGACGAGAAACCTGGTTTTAGTATAAAACTTGCTGTACCTATTATGTGCATAGACCAGACAATATTTGTCTTAATCTACAATATCCATACGATATGGCAGCTACGAGATACAGTCTATATTTGATTTATAAATGTTTGCTAATTTAAAGCAGCCTTCACACCGTGTGCTACCGATCTCACTCCGTTAAATTCACAAAAAATGGAAATTTTTCTTCCCCCAGAATTTTTTTAAGTTTTTTGGGAAATTCTGAACAAAAAAGGTCCTTAGTAATTTTTCTCAAGGGTGATCGTTGTCGATCGTATTTTTGAATTTAGAAACTTAAAGGTTAAATATCCATGCGCAAGAATCTGATGTGTTTTCAAAATTATTTTATTGCAAAACTCTTGTTTTTAATTGTTAATATTGTGCTCTGCACGCGTACCGCTACCACCACTATATACAGTGCATACAATCGACTGATTTTTTTGCAGTTTGTTTTACAATTTTCATGGCAGTTACAAGCTGTTACCGAATTTTTATTTCTGATGGTTTTAGAAACAGAATAATGTTATCAATTAAGTAGTACAGCTAACATCATCATCAATTAGCCTATATTTGTCCACTGCTGAACGTAGGCCTCCCGTAAAATTTTCCACCTATTTCTATCTTGAGCTTCTTGCATTAAGTTTGTGGTGATGCGCTTCTAGATGTTATCCGTCCATCTAGTCGGTGGTCTTCCTCTGCTTTGATATGCCTCTTGTCTTGGTCCGGTCGCCATTCCAGAATCTTTCTGGTCCATCTATCATTCGTTAATCTTTTAACATGTCCGGGCCAAGCCCATTTAGCCATGGCTATTTTTTCAACTGCATCTGTGACTCCTGTTCTTTTTCTTATTTCTAGGTCTGGTACTTTATCTCTGATGGTAATACCCAATATTGATCTTTCCATAGCGCATTGTGTAACTCTTATTTTATCTATTGTTCTTTTTGTCAGAGTCAGTGTTTCTGCACCATATGTAAGAACCGGTGAAATGCACCGGTTAAAAATCTTTTTTTTTTTAAACAAACTGGGATAATAGACTTAAAAATGTTATTCAATCTACCAAAGGCAGCCCATGTGAGACCTATCCTTCTTTGTATTTTAGTTGTCTAATTATCTCTGAAAATCTTTCTTTTTAAACAAACTGGGATAATAGACTTGAAAATGTTATTCAATCTACCAAAGGCAGCCCATGTGAGACCTATCTTTTGTATTTCAGTTGTCTGATTATCTCGGCCTAAACGAATCTAATGCCCTAGATATTTGTAAGCTATTACTTGGTTGATGCTATGGCTCTCAATCAGAATTTTACAGCTGACTATGAGGTTGGTCATAAATTTTGTCTTTGAGGTGTTAATTTTAAAACCAATTGTTTTTGACACTTTATAGAGCGTGCGCAGCACTTTTGTAGCTTTATCAACTCTATCAGATATTAAAATGATGTCATCGGCAAATCTTAGGTGGTTCAGATCTTCCCCATTTATATTAATTCCCATATTATCCTCTCGTTCCATTTGCTTGAACATATATTCAAGAACAGCTGTAAACAATTTAGGGTAGATAGTATCACCCTGTCTAATTCCACGTTCTAGTACAGCTAACGCTATGGCCGAAATACCTCAACTTGAAAGCAATAATTTAGAAGCAATATATGATTTTGCGTGGGAATCTCAAATAATTATTCACATTTTATATATAGATGTTTGTTTAGATTTAGAATGACTCAAAAAACTTGGCCAGGGCCAAAAAGTGAATTTTTGAAATTTGTTTACTTAAGTAAATAATTTTTATAATATAATTTGTGATAAGCTTGTGCATTTATTTAGTTTCAACGTTTTTGGCGAAAATCTCGATTTCCCATGGGTGATTTTTGCTCTAGGGGATCATTGGGTAGTTTTGAGGGATTGGGCAATGTACCAATCAACAGCAATTAATTAGCAATAAAATATGCCTCTAAGATGGGCCCTGTAGCCCTTTTCATTGCCAATATATAGCTATCGCTATGCTATCTTTAGCATAACCATTGTTTATCTGCTACAGCATTTTCTTTGCATATAACTTCAGCAATAAATTAGAAATTAATTCCGTGGGTTCACTTTTCTAGTTTCATCGATTTCGGCCGATATCTCGATTTTTCCGAGAGTGAATTTGCACTATTCCTAGGACTATTGCACTTGTGCATCATATGAGTGCACCAGACGATCTATGGTTCTTCATTTCAGATGGGTAAAAGTACTTCAGATCTCTGATTTATGGGAGTCCTTACTTGTGTCGGGAAATTGTTTTGTGGTATTAGGCTGGTATTGACCTTTTTATAAAACTCTTCAAATTTTCCAAATTGCCTGTTTTTCTGCTATTACCTTTCCGTCTTTGTCTCTCAGCTTGTATATTCCTTTTTCTAGTCTTCTTAAGCAACAAATATTACCAATATAAAAACAA